TCACATTGGAGTCTTGAAAGTTGCGTGCAAGGTTGACAATGTTACATTTAAAGTCTGAAATGTTGCATGCAAAAATGGCAATGTTACATTGGGAGTCTGAAAAGTTGCGTGAAAAGTTGACAATGTTACATTTGAAGTCTTAAAAGTTGCGTGCAAAGTTGACAATATTACATTGGAAGTCTGGAAAGTTGCGTGCAAAGTTGATAATGTTACATTGGAAGTCTGAAAAGTTCGGTGTAAAGTTGACAATGTCACATTGGAAGACTGAAAAGTTGGGTGCAAGGTTGACAATGTTACATTTGAAGTCTGAAATGTTGCATGCAAAAATGGCAATGTTACATTGGGAGTCTGAAAAGTTGCGTGCAAAGTTGACAATATTACATTGGAAGTCTTAAAAGTTGCGTGCAAAGTATAAAATGTTACATTGGAAGTCTGGAAGGTTGCGTGCAAAGTTGATAATGTCACATTGGAAGTCTTGAAAATTGCGTGCAAAGTTGGCAATATTACATTGAAAGTCTGGAAAGTCGCATGCAAATTTGACAATGTTACATTGGAAGTCTGAAAAGTTTGGTGTTAAGTTGACAATGTTTCATTAGAAGTCTGAAAAGTTACGTGTAAAGTTGACAATGCTACATTGGAAGTCTGGAATGTTGCGTGAAAAATTGACAATGTCACATTGGAAATTGCGTAAAGAAACATGGAAAGTCTGCAAATTTTGGTGCAAAATTTAAAAAAATATATAAAAAGTCTGTATGGCTACGTGCCAAGTCTGGAAAGTTGCGTTCAAGTTTGTTAAAATTATGGGGAACGCGCGCACAAATGATCGTTGATCGTTGACCAATGTTTTGAAAATGTCTGTACAAAGAACTCAAATGTAGTGTTGAAAGTTATCGATCAATCATTATATATACCAAAACAAATGTGCTAATAACGTGATAACTGTATACCAGAGGTTCAACTAACGGTTCTCTGGATTTTTAGTTATTTTGTATTATTAAATTAACAAACGGTATAAGAGTTGCGTATATACCTAACCACATATAAGATGTTTTAGAACACTTCACATGAAACTTCAGATTTATGTTTTACATATTTAAGGTCTTAAAAATAATTAACATATTTATATTTTTGGAAAAGAAAAGTAAGAAAGCATTTAGCCCATTCCTGAACAATATAATGGTCGTGTATGAAATTTGGTACATCCATTGGAAATTACAGTACTTTGATACATGTCATTTGTAGCAAGGTTAGGCCCAATTAGTAAACTGTTCCAGAGCTATACTTCTGACATACCTTGAATAAACATGTTCAAACACATCATACACCATGTAACGCATATGTATATTAATTTTTTTGACGAATCGATTCTATTTGCTTTCAGAAAATATATAGCACATAGTTTGACCGAATGCAATATAACAATGTACATCATGTCATTTATTCCATTCTCTGATTCAATATTTGCAGCGTCACTGTATTGTTCACTATTGACCAAACATGGACATAGAATGTTACATAATGAGTTGGTCTTCCTCTCTATGAGAAGTCGAGATGTGCCAATGTTTGATCACTCCTGCTCTATGTCTCATTTCTCTTGAGGTATTCCTACATTTCTCTGATGCTATAGTTGTGGTTATTATTTGTATAACGTGTTTGGGAGATCTTAACTTTGATTAATGCACTGCAGATTATATAAATTACCTCCAATTACCTTCTTTGAAGGAAGAAGCATATGCAGACTAACGACACTTAACATATTTGTAGTTCAACCAGGTGTATTCAATGTGCTAAAGTATGTATATCTATTTTTTTTAATGTAGGCTTCGATGCAATTCACAATATGTCTTACACTCTCACCTGTAGGCCAGCAAACTACAAAGAGGAATGCTGATCCATTAATTACACCACATGTCTGTGATGCATTTCTTGCCATATTTGTGTCTTTGCTTCACCGTGTCTCAGGACTTCTGTAAACATTTATATGGCAACTAATTCATGTGCAAACACTGTTATTGAAGAATGTTTAACATCACACTGCTCCGCGACTAGTTAAACATTTGCAAATGTTTACATGCAGGATGTGTGGGAACATGTAACATGACACAGAAACAATGAAAAATAGGAAATATATCAATAAATTTGTGAACAGCGTCACAGACTTCCACGATATTATCAATAATATCTTATACCAGAGCAGCAACGGCAACATCAGATTGCACATTGCGAACAATACCAATATTGTGGGAAATGAAGTACGTTTTTTTAAATAATGGGGGCCGAATTATGTGCCCAATCATAAATTTTAATTCTAAGAAATATTAAAGTCATATTTGCGATAAATTCATAGGAATTGCATACGTGTATAAGTGATGAGGTAACATGACAAGCAAACAGTTCCTCCAACTTCTCCTTTCTCATGTGCGTAATATCTAGTTAATACAGTGCGTATTTGTCACGTACGTCTAAGGATTTGGTATGTTGCATAATTAATGATGTCACATGACCAACATGTAGTTTATCCAAATGTTTTCACTATGTGTAGATTGTAGTGAATGTGCATCTGTAATAGATACCTGGGAATTAAATATGCGCATAAACTAATAAGGCCAAATAACGAGCTCATAGTAAATCGCTTCACCGATGTGCACATAAACGAATTAAGTGTACAACATAATTATATATGTGCATATGATTTCTTCAAAGTCACAATACTTGGTTAATATTAAATATTTATTCATATTCAATTTCTGGAAATTATGTATGTGAATAATTAGTCACATGACTAGTTAATAATTGTCCGACATATTTTTATTCATGTGCACAACATCCTGTTAGTTGTATCGAAAAATTGATATAGAATTGAAATATAGAGTAGAATAGAACAGCGATTTATTATTAATGGTTTTATTGATTATTGATCTTCAGCGCCATACCACTATTAACTGCTTTTGCTTTTTTCATCTTTTTATTTTTTTTCAAAAACTTTCTCTTAAACATCCTTTTTTGTTTCCGTTTTAGTTTCTTGGGAAGCTTTCCTCTGACATCCTCGTCTTTAGAGCGACACTCAAACTGGCCCATAACCGCACCAGTACCATCAAGGCCGGGAGAATCGCTCGAAGGAGAACAGTTTACCTGTTTGTCGCCCTCAACGATCGATGTCGTGCACTGCAGGTTGAACATTTCGTTGTTTTGCAGTGAATAATCGACTATGTCATCAACCAGCCCGTTAATGACGACTTTCGGATGTCGTCCTGATGTCAGCAAATGATGAAATAAAAAAGAAAAACAAAAAAACTTGATTGCGTCAGTGCATCGGAATAATTAGTGTTTTATACTGTAGTTTTTTGTTTTGTTTTTTAAATTAACAGATACTAGAATACAGCGCAGATTATTCATAAGAACATGATTTTTAACAATTATTGCTAATGTTATTGTATAAAAGAAGAGGCCACTGCTTATGCGTTGAAGTAGGGTGAGTGAATTGAAAACAAGTCTGCACACGTCAGGTACTTATTCGGAAAATGATTTCATTTGAACCAAATCAGTTGTAACTCATTACCAGATACGAGTAGAATACGAGTATGCAAATTAGATAAATTATTATATTCAGACTTTACAATGGCCAATTATCAGTTATTGATCACAACTTTTTGAACTGACTGACTGAGATGTCAGTATTATTTAGATATTTTAAATTAAATTAAATTAAATTAAATTAAATTAAATTAAATTAAATTAAATTAAATTAAATTGAATTAAATTAAATTAAATTAAATTAAATTAAATTAAATTACCGATCATGCTCCCAGTCGTCGGTTCCGGTACCGGTTCAGCACCTTCCCCATAACATGTTCTGTCATCACTGAGAAGTTCGATTCCGTCTGGACATGCGCATGTGTATCTGTTTTCATTTGTTATTGTGGGAGCTAACAGACACAGATGAGAGCAGCCGCCATTATTGTCCCCGCAATAGTTCACTTCTGAAATTCAACAACCAGTACACGTTGAGTGATTTGACTAAAATTATGAATATATCCAGGTCACGCGAGACTGACAGGAAGGGAAATAAATGTCATAGTTAATACTGATCACTGGGTATAGTTGCCAACGGCATAATCCACGGGTCTAAATGTCGAGCTAAAAGCACTCACCGTTTAGTTGGCGAGTTTCCTGTACTACTCGAACTGCCATGGGCGTGTACAGCCCTTGAGCATGAGTCTTCACATCCCGACCATTTAACTTGTTGACTGAATATACGCTCTCTGAACTCCACTCACTCCAATACACGCGACCCTGGAACACATCATTGTGTATAATTAATCTCTTAAAGCGAAGAGGGTCGTGACCTGCGCACGCGCGGGAATTGAGTACCAAGCGACAATACCAACGCAAAGGCTCACGCGTAGACGCTTGTTTGAAAACAGCGACACACTATGGCCGTCTGGCGCATGCGCAGGTGGCGACTCCCCCCGCTTTAACAAATGAACGGCACATGTATTTATTTGCTATATATTACTATACTAGAGCTCACGTAGTGATTACAACAATGGTAGTTTATATGATTGTTGCCATTATAATTGCTTACAATTATAATTGCTTACAAGTCTCAGAGTTTCAGCCATGCCTGGTAACTACATATTTTCTTCAGCAAAAATGACAAACGCATTTGTTAAAAATAAAGAATTGAAGATATCGTCACGATAATGTTTCACAATGCAACTCAAAATGCAATGCAACATCACATGCCGACTGACTGAGATGCACATTAGCTAATTTCTATATTATTTTTTGAAAAGGTCCCGAATTTTTCCACGTATGTGAATTTTTTGTTCATTGACAATTTGCGTTTTTGGAAAACTGTCAAATAATTCACTTCTCAACATGTTAAAATCGGTTGAAATGAACAACTGTGAAAACATATTTTGTTAATAAAACACCACAATTTTTATTACATGAACCTCGTTATACATATAATTTGTTCAGTTGTTTGAACACGCGCTTCCCTTATGATTGGCTGTCGTTCGCAGTACAAATGTGAAACACATTCGAAATGTTTGTGATTGAAAGGAGTATAGTTTAGCTGTCATAATGCTACCGGACTACCAGTTTCAAAACCTGGTCCTCGGACCTGGTAATCATTTTTGTCCCGAAGAGAATTGGGGGCCATGAAAATATATATACTTACTCCGAAAACGACCAAAGAGAATGGATGACTCAGAAGAACACTGTCTTTTAGCAAAGTGATTCGTTGTTGACCGTCCATATCGCTGTAACTGATGGTATGGAGTTTAGCATCTACCCAATACAATTTCCTGCTTATGTAATCGATTGATATACCGTTGGGCCAGCCCAGGTCATCGCTGAGTATGGTCTGTCGGTTTGATCCATCCATGCCGGCTCTTTCAATTCTATTTGATCCCCAATCAGACCAATAGAATAATCTGTGTACCAATGACATTGCGTGAACAAGGAAGTGAGTCAGCACAGCAGATTGTGTTTATGAGTGTAAAAAGTGTGATTTCATAGACACGTTTAATTTAAAAGAGTCGTGTTCACTCTTTGGCAAATATTTAAAAAAATCACTTTGCGAACAAGCTAAAGAAATCGCGAAATTTGTGCATTTGTTGTTATTTTTTACTGACAAAATATGAAATATTAAATGTTTTTCTGACATTTTCACACATTTTAATCCCTTAGACAAATAAGAACAAAACAAAGTTTTACAACTCTAGGAGTGTCTATTGTTAACAAATCAAAAGTTCCATTTAAATTCATAATCAGTAGGTAATTTCTCATTACCCACCAATAGTCTCAATATTTTATGACGTGTATATTGTCAGAGGATTGGTACCTAATGTTAATCAAAATATATAGAGATGAAAACGGATTCATTTCAAAGCAGTTTCCTAGTTTTGATCAAATAAACATGTACAACTGTTTAGAAGAATTCTAATAATAGTATTCTAACGATCGCAACTCGAATTCACGACGACCTGAATAGGTTAAGGCGCGGTGGTCGTCGCGCAGTGCGTGTTCAAATTTCATGTAAATAAATAATGTATTTTACACGCGTTGTATACGACGCTATGAGTCTCATATCGAACAGAACGCGGCGAGACGACTGCCGCCCTTTAACCACATTTAGCGAAAATGAAATTGCGAATACCGGATATCGAGAGAAGATTGACAGTATCAATTACATGTCCGTATGCAAATTACGTCCCCGAAGTATGAACGCCTCTTCTTATGACAACAATAACATAACTAAACTATAATAAATCGAATCGTACCCTTCTTGTGGATCGACTGCCAAAGCTCTAGGTTCATCGACGTCGTGGTTGAATAGTGTCTTCCTGAACTGGCCATCCTCACTGACAACATTAACAGTGTTCCTACCCGTGTCAGTCCAGTATATGTTGCCAGCAACCCAATCAACCACAAGTCCATCTGCAATTGAGATGTTCGTGTCCAGGATCACATCAAAATTCCCGTCTTTGTTATCCAGTGACGCCCTGTAAAAGTTGTACGTAATTTACTCACTAATCATCTTAGCATGTGGTTTAAAATCGTCGTTCGATCTTGTATTTCATGCAAACAAACAATGTATTTTAGACGCGTTGAATGCGTCCCGTGGAACCCGTATCGAATGCATGTAACTACGCGACTGCGCATTATGTTGGAGCTGTTTTAATAAATAAAACTAATAGGTGATTTTCCGTTCAACTGTGAGATCTCGCGAGATGCATGAAAGACGATCGTCGAACGTCTGCCGCAAAAATCGAACGATTTTATTTTGAACTCGAATTTCTTTATTTCGTAGCTCACATCGACCGGCCGATCTTCGACAGGGGAATATTGCCCTCGAATACCCTGACTCAATCGAAATTGTCTATCATCAAATGTGTACAGCCCACTAATAAGCATGGAAATGCCCCCCAAAATATTTTCGCGTTTGTCGAATCCCACGCGATGTTTGACGCTACTACTGCGCTATGACCTTTGTTTGTCCTGTTTTTACGTTCGATTTCACGCATAACGCGTGATTCTCGCAGTGAACGGAAAATGGTCTATTTATACCCATTAATTGTCTCAGCGCCAATATCGGTCCAGTATATCTTCCTCTTCCGCACGTCCACGTCTAACGCAGTTGCAGATTGCAGGTCTGTAAACAATATTTCTTTTGAGTTAAATTCATCACTTAAGTCGATCTGGACAATGTGTTTTCTGTTGGCAACGAGAAGAACGGCATCCCTTTCTTTTAGTCGGCATACTCCATCCGGGTAAATAACATATTCTTTTGGACATGCGCAATGAAATCCGCCATCGTCATTGAAACAAAATAAATGTCCGCATATGTCAGGATTTTCACCACATTCGTCGATGTCTAAAAAAAACAAAAGATTTAAAATTTATTTGTCAATTTGAAACACAGTCAGCTGGCGCACGTGCGATATTTACAAAAACGACGAATTCGGCCGAATTAAGTTGTTAGCGGCTGGATCGTTTGGCTGTGAAAGATTGGTAATTTTTTCCTGATTTGCAGGAATCTAAAAAAACGCGTTTCACAACTTGTATGTTTATTTAGTTTCATGCAGTATCCAAAAATTGCCTCGAATAAATTACAAATACAGTTAGAATCACAAAACCGGTCATAAAGTCGGAGTAAATTCACTACAACAGGGAACTCAACTCGCTTGACAGACTACATTACACTGCAAATATACTAGATCGATCCAAACAATGCACATCTTAGCTTACTTATATATAATTTTACAAGACACTTTTTAATATTTAAGTATACTACTAGTGCTGTTATTTTCATAAACGTTGTCAAGTCGTTAAATTTATTACGCACTATACTGATATGTGTACAGCGCGTCTGCATCAAGCATAAAAACCTTGTATTTCGAACATTCATTTCACATCCTCACCTTTGCACGTCTTATTGTCCCAAGACAGTCTAAAACCAGAGGCACACTCACAGTAATAGTCAATTGGCAAGTCGATGCACGTCTGGGAGCATCCGCCATTTTGATGTTTGCATTCGTTAAGAACTAATAATAATAATAAGAAACGACATTTATTAAAATAAAACAAAAGCAATAGATAAGAGACGTTGAAAAGTCAGAGTTTCTGACTAGGAACTGCACGCAATCTGGGAAAATACGAATACAATTATTGCTATATAATGCCCAGTCAATAACGTTGTCTCTTACCGCATATTTGTGGCGAAGGCTCGTCCGACCAATCACCGCAGTCGTTATTACGGTCGCAGGTTTTACTATGTTCGACACATGCACCGTTGTCACACGTGAAGTGAGTGTTAATATCACACACTGGTGCCGGTGTACAGTCGCTCTCATCACTAGCGTCGTAACAGTCCATTTTGCCATCACACTCTGCTTCTTTTGGGATACACACGCCAGACTTGCACGTAAATTGTTCGTCAGTGCAGCCGTCTAAAACGTAGAACAAATTAGATTGTGTGTCAGTGTATGTTTTAAAACCCCGCACC